AAGAAGAAGAAGAAGAAGAAGAAGAAGAAGAAGAAGAAGAAGAAGAAGAAGAAGAAGAAGAAGAAGAAGAAGAAGAAGAAGAAGAAGAAGATTGAAAGCACAACCTTTAACTTTCGCAGCTTTAAGCTTGTGAAGGGTGGGGTCTTGCTGGTTTCTAGGATGTCCTCAAGATACCCTTTTAATTGTTCAGATATAAAGTAATTGGATTCTTTTTAAGACTTCAACAACTAAGTGCTCCTTGACTGAAACTTTGTAGGCTCTTCCTTCCTGGGAAAACTGAAAACTTCTGCTCCTGCTTTTTCAGTACATACCTGGCTAAAAGCAGCAAGCAGGACCAGCAAGATAGCTCAGCAGACTAAAGCGCCTGCTTAAACAAGCTTAGGCAAGTGCAGGGACCACAGTTTGACCCCCGGCACTGTATGCTGCACCAGCCCCACCCCAGGGTGGGCTGAGCCAGTCAGAGTCTGAGCATAGTGGCATATGCCTGTAATCCCAGTGCTGGGGAGGCTGAAAGCAGGAGGATCACCCAGAGTCTGAGCTGCATAGTAAGACCCTACAATAACCAAATACATTTAAAAAAAAAAAAAAAGCAGCAAGCAATATCCCAGCTACAGACTGAATATTGGGTTGACTTGAAATTTCCTGTCCCAGATTAGTCTATTGCCCTTAATATCAGAATCTTGCAACGTCTCCACGCATGAATAAAATGAAGATAAACTTCCTGCCAGAGCACAACACATGTGATCTCTAGCCCAACTGTCCATGGAGTCTTTGTTCCTGATTGAAAGCTTCTGAGCTATCTTTACTGTCTGTATTTTTATCAGCATTCTGGACTTCTGAGCTCTGACTAGAATCTTGCATCAAGCTTGGCTTACAAGCGTTCTAGGACTTCTCTAGCTGTCAATGCCAAACCTTTCCAAACTCCTCCTGCAAGCCAGTTCCATAGGCTTCTAAACCATGTAGTCAGATAGTTACAACAATGACCCCAAATACCAAATTTTGTCTTAATCTTAAGTCATTTTCCTCATCACTGGGACAAATATCCAATACCTGCAACTTAAAGGAGAAGAGG